TATAAAATGAAAGAGAAGAAATGACCCACACAAACTGGCTACATTGTAAGTAACATAAGCACAAGAAACCAAAACTTCACCCATGATAATGTTCACAAACTTTCTTCGCCACTGAAAATCTTTTTGAAAGTAATTTTGTTTCTATCAGACTGAATGAGAATGGTTGAAATTTCTCACAAAAGAAATTTTCTGCACAGCATTACTCTTTAACAAACCCAACAGAGTGAATAGTGTGGGTAACAATTACTTCATCTACAACCATTTCAACTACATAATGTTGCACAGCATAGAAGAATACACAAGTGAAGTCTCCATGTTGCCTATGAGGTACTAAAAACATCCATGGGTATAATGTCATCCCATTACATCACCCATTAAATGCAGCAGCCTTGTGAAGATTAATTGACTTAAATCCTGTTGCTTAGCATCGTCAGAGTAGAGTAGACCCATTACCTCAGCAGGAATTTGGTCAACTGCTCCACAAATTCTAATGATTCAAATAGGCTTACTCCAGGTGCAACTTAATATACTACAGTAAGTCACAACTAGAGGAGCCCCACTTGAATCAATGAAACTTGTAGAGGAGTTGATTTACCAGATCTCCAGAGAAAATGGGAGTGTAATTTACTGCACAAAGCAAAAGGATTTCAACCAGTGAAATACTACTTGGTATCCCCGTTACTAATACTTTTCTTTCTCTTATTGTTTCATAGAATATTGTTACAATTCTCCTGTGTCCAATGGCAATGGAAGTTATTGATAATTTACTCTTTATTGCCATTATCTGATAGCTTTCCAACGACTTGAAGCTGCAATGAAAAAGCAAGAGGTACAAATACTCTTTCAAGAAACAGTCAGCTAATACAAGAGAATACACAGATAAATGATAGCTGAGTGAGAATAACACTCCATATGTTACATCAAGATCCTGCTGTAAAATGTGGCAATATTTTGCAAATAGAGATAGAATACTTGGCTAGCAGATAAGATCCTGCTGTAAAATGTGGCAATATTTTGTAAATACAGAGATAGAATACTTGGCTAGCAATTCCACTTGCTTGATAAGTTCACAGTTGTATCTACCTTCAGATACCGTCAATCGTTCTAAAATGCAAAGTCCATTTGCACTTTGTGTCATTGCTTTAGGAACACACAAGGCGTTCTTCTCATAAAACAATGAAACATCTTTTAAATCAGTCTTACTGAACAACGATCATTTTGCACAAGATGTTAAGCTATTTTAGTCTGACAACCTATTACATATTTAAAACACTTCCACACTTACTTCATATCAAAAAGAAGTTACCACCATTCTAGCAAGACCACTAGCTGAATGAGCTCCTGAACAATTAGATTCCTATTACTCTTTTATACACTTTGTAAAAAATCATTTTATAACTACTTCGACAGATGTGGAGATCTTAGATCCTAAAAAACAGAAAAATTCTGATGTGGGGGAAGAACAAATATCAAAATGCCAAAGTATGCATGTTTTATTCTGTTTAGTCAATACATTCCACATTTCCAATGTGGGGGTCTTCTTCAGATGAATCTAAAAAGTTTGACAAGCTCCTTTTCAAGAGTAGTTATTTGTCCTTAAAACTCTTGATAGGCCTTGAAACTCCATCATATTTTGAATTTCCCCTCAGAATTTATAGAGGGCCAAAACACATTGGCTAAATAAAATAAACCATGAACACAGTGCCAGTCTAAACTCATTATCCCCCTTTTTATTTTGTTTTATTCCATTTTCTGGTGAATTCCTGCCAACTTTGGCTTATATCAGATGTTTAACATTACATCTGGTTTGGGGCCTACACATCTTGCAAAACCTTTAAAACCATCAATGCTCCTGCTGTCATGATACAACAAACTGCAATCTATAAAGCCAACATCTAAAATCCATGTTATGGACTGTAGAGTGTTGTAATGCAATGCTATCTTTTACCATATGGTACCATAAATACCTGTCAGGGCTACTGTCTTAGAAAGTTTAATCCTATATATACCAAACAAGCAAAGAGTTAAATCACTATAGCCGTTGTATTGCATACTATTTTTAACTGCAACTGAACTGATGGTGACAAAGAGATGAAATAGTCTTCTCCAGTGTGATGCTTCACCAGGAAATTTCTTCCCAAAAATGAGATACATAATACGCTCAAGATGCCAGAGAGGTTACTTGTTTGAAGGGCTAACAAAAAGAGAAGTTCTGATGGATAAATTAATGTAGGGATTTTGTAACAGATGGAAAGGCTATAATGACAACCTGAATTACTTTGACCACTGATCTAGAAAGGTCATGCACTTATTGGGTACATATGTTAAAATCCATGATTATTCTTAAAGTCACTAGACCTTAGTTAACAGAGTTTTTATGGTAGATTAGAACAAGTATATCTTGATAGGTCTCTTTTTTGAAAAAAAAATTAAATATGCCCTCTAGCAAATGCCACTGCACATTCATTAATATAAAACAAGTAAGAAGGGTCGACTAAACGAACCTATGAAAATAGGAGACTGCCAGCCTAAGAACATGTATCTCTCTGCACTGCAGGATTCAGTTGGCTGGTGTATTATAAGCACATAAATTATTATTTTCTTGAAGACATCATAGGTTAGACCTCAATAAGAAGCAAACTATGGCTTGCTTCCCACTGTGAGATTAAGAAACTACAGAAATCCTAATCACTTTGCTTTCAATGTGTAACTTCTAAACACACAAAAAGAGATCGTAAGAGTGCAGTGCTTACTCCTGTGTGTACAGGCTTTTCTCATGCGGATTCATCTGGCCCTGCTGATGTCTTCTCCACAAAGGGAAGCTATAAATGGGGAATGAGTAAACTAATTTACTGTGCATATATGCTGTGCACTTCACTATTTTTGAAATCATACACAGTTGATTTCAGAGAAAATCCATGCACTAATCTCACTGTAGATTATGGACTTTTATGTCTAGAGAAAAGACCCAAAAGGACTTCGAGCAATTATTTAAAAAGCCTCCAAAAAGGAATAGTTCATGCTTATGAAATATGTGATCCCTTATTTGTGTAACTTTCTGTTGCCCTTTCAAAATTAACAGTTGTTTTTCATCTAATAGTATTATTAGGGCTGTCAGCAGTCAATCAGAACATTCTTAGGGAGTGGGAATTCTGAATTTCTAAACAGACCTGGAACATAGTGAGTTCTTTGTTTCGACATTCCTTGTGAGATTACTGTGTGCTGGGTTCCTGGTGCACAGGACCAGGAACCCATACAGACTGCTTTCTGTATGATGCTATGGAAAACAGGGTGTATATATCTATGCAGTATTTGTGCAGGAAAGTCAGACACAGAATCTTCTTTTGTGTAATCTGTGTGGGTGAAACGGAATGGTGTGTGATGAGATTTGGCTTTGGCCAAGCCAACAGCTCACTTGCCAGGATCCAGTCAAACCTGAGGGGAGAGGAAGGAAAATGAGGGCTGTGCATGATGCCAGCCATTCAGACTTGCTCCCTCCACACCCTTTGCTGGAGTCTGCCATCATCTTCCGCTGCACCCCAAAGATTATTCATTCTAGCAGAAACGGTGTAGTCTGATAAGAACTGGTCTGTGTGGACGGCGCTATGGGTGACAGGCACTGGTAGCACTGACAGTGCCTAGGACATGGCATTAAAGGTTGGGAAGGAAGGGAGTTGGGCTGCCAATGCCAAGCAAACAAGGCAACAGGTTTTGCTATGATTATTGATGATGTTGATGATGAATGTGATCATATAAACCAGTGCTACATAAGTCTGATTACTTTTCTTTCTCACGTACTGCTGTGCGGACTGGTTCTCTGCTGCCGTGCCACTCCTTTTTGGAGTACAGTGGTGCCTCGCAAGATGAACACCTTGCCTGACGAAAAACCCACAAGGCAAACGGTTTTTGTGATCGTGTTGGTGACTCGCAAGACGTCTTCTTCTATGGCCGTGCTTCACAAGATGATTTTTTTCGCAAGACGAAAATTATTCACTCGTCTTGCGAGGTTTCCCATAGGAATGCATTGCAATGCATTCCTATGGGAAACCACTTTTCGCAAGATGAAAATTTCGAATTACAGTACTTTAGTCTTGCAAGGCACCACTGTAGTTTTAAACGTCTCTTTAGAATTTTTGGTATGCCAGAAACGACAAATGGGTCAACATGAACTTGGAACCTGAGAAAGGCTCTCCCATTTGTCTAAAATAAAAGGACCAATAAACAAAAAATATTCTTTCAAAAATCAAAGGGGCACCCATGAAAGAACCTGAAAGGAAAGAGATTAAAAAAAAACCTTGCTGGATACATCTCTTATATAGATACTTTGAGAAGTGATAGCCTGACATATCCTTTGCTGCAAGCATATGCAAACAAACAAACAAAAACAAGAACCAAAGACAGCTGCAAAAGCACAAACTGAATGTATAAACCACAACATGTAAATTTCTGTGACGTAGTCACAGTTATGATAATAAAAAATTGATTTAATTGGTCACTAACCTGCTCTACACTTTCTGTACAAGCAAGCAATTAGAAATGATATTTAAAAGGTGTTAAGCCACCCACTAACAAGCAATAATTTTTCCCTAGGCTATAGTACTTTCTGCTGTATAACAGGGTTTGAAGTTTTAAATGCTTTCACAATAAAACTCTATATAGACAGAAAGCCAACACATCAGGGAGAACTTCCTTCTTTTATACTAATCAAATATATGCAGAGATTTTGAATAACATGGGGAACAATATTTAGAACTCACTCCTGCACCACATGGAAGGATAATTTAAGGCCAGCACAATATTTTTGCTCAATACATAGGATAAGCATTTAAAATTCGACCACACGTCTTGTAGTCTGAAGCAGAATAGAAATATTAAAAATAGACTGTACTTTTGTGGTGCATAAGAAATCCTTAGTTTTAGCAGCAATTCTGAAAAGTGTGTCTAACGTGCTCTATACTTCTTGTGTTACAGAATTCTATCTACACAGAAATATGCTGTACCTTCTTCCACAGCAATTGGGTTCTCCAGAAAAAATGTTGTCTGTTTCCAGTGTGTCTTGGCACAACAGGGACTTGTAGAAAACATTACCTGAAGTGACAGAATTCAAAAAATATGTGATGATATGCATGAATTAATAACATATTATGGTAACTTATTGCACAAATACATATACATTAAATATCTGCAAGAGCTAAACAGACCTTCAGGCAATAATCTTACAAAATATACCTTGCAATTAATGTTGAACATGTAACATTCAACTACTTACTTGCTTGTTGCAATTCTTCTCAAAATATATATCAAAATATCCCGCAATTGCCTGTATTAAAAACACACAAACACAAGAATGTAAACAGTACTCACTATCAGTGTGTGAAATAAGCCATGTAAATTGCGTTTGGCTATGTGATGGGACTTTATCTTCCCTCACTGCAGCCTCTTGCCCCACGTCACTGCTAAGCACAGTCCCCTTCTCATTCCACTGACAGAAGACATTTTGTCTGCAGAAAAGACTGAATATAACCTAGTATTAAAATATTTTGCAATTTATTGCTAGGAATTGGAAACAGCTTACAGTTTCCAGTTAAGTGACTGATACAGGGAAGTTTGGGATCACTGTATTTTTCGCTCTATAAGACGCACTCCCCCCCCAAAAAAGTGTGTGTGTGTGGAAGTCTGCGTCTTATGGAGCAAAGCTGGTGATTTCGCCCCCACTAGACCCATGGGAGTGGGTGGGTGGGAGCCTTCCAGAACCCTTTGGAGACTCACCCCACCCCACCCCCGCACGGGGCCAGCAGGGGTGAAATCGCCACCCTCTGGGACTCTTTTGAGGCTTGGGAAGCTTCAGAAGAGTCCCTGAAGGTGGCGATTTCACCCCCCTGGCCCCTGGAGGGCAGAGTGGGCCTCCAAAGGGTCCTGGAACACACCCTTTGGAGGCTCACCCTGCCTCCCCCACGGGGCCAGAGGGGGCCAAACTGCCACCCTCTGGGACTCTTTTGGGGACCTCCATCTCACGGCAAGCATTCAGGACTCAATTTTTACTGGTGGCTTTTAGCATTTGGATACATTCAACATTCTGACACCATCTCACCTAATTCATTTGGGGTTTACTATAAAAATTAATGTTTTGAGTTTCATATTTCTAAATGGCTCTGAGGGAATTGTCAATGTGGTGATACAATAAACTGACTAATCAGGTCTTAAGAAGGACTAGAATCAGACTGGAATGTTATGTGAAGCTTGTGCAGCTTGCCCAAGGCCAACTCATTTATCTTTCAATAATTTGTGAACTGCCTTGCATCCCATAATAGGAAGAAAGGCAACATAGAAAGAAAAAGAAATACAGAAAGAAAGTGAATGCACAGGGCTTGAAAAACTTTAGAATGTCTCACCAGTCAGTCAAAAATTTCAGTCAGCATGCCCAGACTATAGCCTTGTAATTTATGTTTAAACTTAAACTTAAATTTAAATTTGAACTAGGCATTTTCTACATAACAATGCGTACAAACCTAAAATAAATATACCCTCAGAGTTGGGTTGCTTTATTACCTGCGTGCCCTTGGGTCATGAAGCTTGCATTTTGAATGCCTTTCTTTTGAATGCCTCCAGCAAAAATAAAACTGAAAGCAAAGGCGTCCAGCCTCTTAAGGAGCCAGGTCGTTGGGTTGAAATTGGGGGCCGGGAATCTCCATATTCTCCAGCATGAGACTACTCTACATTCTCCTGCAGAGCTATATATACAGTGGGGTCTCGACTTACAAACTTAATCCGTATTGGAAGGCAGTTTGTAAGTCGAAAAGTTCGTAGGTCGAATCTGCATTTCCCATAGGAATGCATTGAAAACCATTTAATCCGTATCTGCTCGTTTCAGTCCATAGAAACTAATGGGAAGCTGCTATTCCGCTTTCTGCCACTAGAGGGGGATATATTTTTTGTTTTTTTCCTTAGGTCAAGAAAAGTTCAGGAAAGGAGGGGGGAGGCAGGGAACGGTTTTAAAAGCACTTTTGAAATCTTTTTTTTCCCAACGAAGCCAATTTTAAAGCATGTTTTAAAGCATGTTGTATTAATTGACCCAGGCTTCGCAAGCCAGAATGCCTCTCTCACATTTTTCCCCCCTTTTTGGTTCGTCCCGTATGTTTTTTTTCAGTTTGTAACTCGAATCTAAGTGTGCAAGTCGAGTCAATATTTTTCTTTCAGAGTGGTTTGTAAGTCGAAATGTTTGTAACTAGAGCCCTTTGTAAGTCGAGGGTTGACTGTATCTTCTGCCACTGGAACTCTCTTCTCACAAGAAGAGGGCTGTTTTTCCTTTTGCAATTGGAAGGGGGAGGGGAGGACTGCAGGATCAGAGAGAGAGAGGCAGGGACTGAGAATAAGGAGGGAGGGAGGGAGGGAGGTGTGGCTGGTGAAGCAGCATTTTTTCACTTGTCACAGATGAGTGGACTAGTAGATTTTTCAAGCCCTTTGAATGCAGCAGCAAGTGACGCTGGAAAAGAACAAACTTCCCACTTTCTCAAAACGTTCTTCACCAAAACCTAGGGATACATGTCATATTCTGCAGTTCAGTCTCACACAACTATGCTTAATGTAACAGAAACAAGTGAAGTAAAATTAAGGCTACAGTTTAAATACTGTGAGACCAAATCTGCAAGAAAAAATAGAAGGTTATGTGTTTTCAGCCATTTCTCTCCCATCACCACAGCGAATGGAATACATATTCTCTCTCTAGTCTATTTATTACTAGGTCTTTTGCTCCCAAACAGTAGCAAAATATATAATTAGTTAGAATACTTAATGCAAGTAGTAACAGGACGCTTTGTAAAGCTTTTGGAAACAGAAACTGCTAATAGTTTAGCAATTCAGAGCATTTCTTCTACTCTACTAAAGAAAAGCTTAAAGACTAAGAAATGCAACAGTCTGCTGTGTCTAAGGGATCAGTTTTGGACATGATTGGGCTTCTCCGCCACATATCCCAAACATTTTGGAAAAACTTCGGAAAAATACATGTATTTGGCTCAACATGTCCCAGAGAGGAGTGTCACAGGAGCAAAAGGGGTTCAGGGACGGGTATGTGTGGCAATATGAGTTTTGCAGGCTGTCCAGCACCTTTCTCACTGGCCAAGCAAAAGCCAAGGGAACCTCTTGGGAAGTGCAACCTCGACCAGCATTCCCCCAAGAAGTTTGCTGCCCTGCTGCGAAAGGAAGCACCAAGAAAGGCCTGCCTCAAGTACAGCTCCCTAAGGAGGGGGAAGGCTTTGAGAAGAGCAGTGGGACCTCAAGGGAAGCTATTTTCTGATAGTTCCATCAGAAAATGAACAGTTACGAAGTATGTTAACCTTTTGTTAATTGTTGTTATCTTCAGCAACTGTCTTAGTATCTATGAACTTTAAATCTATGCCAGTTTTAAGCTGTGGAATTCAAACAGCATGAAGTGCCATACAACTGAAAGACATGAAGTTAAAAAAATAATTTGTCTTTAAAGCAAAAGTATGCTGTGTGTATACCAGCCCATAGCACTTAAAAGAACTCTGTGCAGTTTACAATTTAATTATGCAGGCTACACACTGCTTCCCCCCCACTCCATGAGCAGGGTACTCAATTTACAAAACTTTGAAGGATGGAAAGTTGAGTCAACCTTGAGCCAGATACCTGAGTCTGGGGTCAAATTATGCAGGCTACACACTGCTTCCCCCCACTCCATGAGCTGGGTACTCAATTTACAAAACTTCGAAGGATGGAAGGTTGAGTCAACATCGAGCCAGATACCTGAGTCCAGGGTCAATCTCAGGTCGTGAGCAGAGTCTTGGCTGCATTACTGTAGTTTAACTACTGCACCACAAGGCTCTTCTTTGAAAGTTTTCTTATTTTGTTTTACACACAAGAAATTATGCTTGTTTCTTCTATGCTAATGTTACTCTTCTTCACCTTTCGGCCCCATCTTTGATGACCGAAGATCCCCAGAGTCATCATCATGATGGAATCCAGCCTTTCTGTTTGGGAACAGTCATATATAACTAAGGCTCTGGTCTGACACGCATATTGAGAGTGTGTTTTAGGTTTAAATAAACGCATAGCAATAGAGTGTTATTCTGCCTTCTGTTCTCAGCATCTCAAAAACGAGAGTGTGTTTTAGGTTTAAATAAACGCACAGCAATAGAGTGTTATTCTACCTTCTCAGCATCTCAAAAAAAGATAAAACTGGTGTTTGTGTGTTGACAGGAAGCAGGTTGTTTTGAAAAGCAGGCAAGCAAAGAAAGAGCTAGTAAGTTAATGAGATGTAAAAATTGACCACCTCATCCCCCTCTCCCCCAGAATTTCTCCTAATCATAAACCAAGTCAGCTATACAGGAGGGAAAATGAGGAGCACTAGAGCTGCAAATGTGATCATTAAGCCTGCATATGGACCTGTGAAATCAATTCATAGTCCAAGCTGACGTTGAAGTATAGGCCAGGTTAGTTGGCTCAATATAGAAATCTGTCTAAGTCTATTAAGGGGAACACACTCATAATTAGCATCAGTAGCCTTAATACTGCCAATTCAAGAGCTGCAGGCACAAGATCAGGGCAGGACAAAAATAATCAGCATAATTTCTTGTAAAAGAAAAATATTTGCAGCTCTATGAAACATGTAGCTGTTCAACTGTGAGTGAGGGACACCTTTCTAACACTGAAAGGCACAAAAATTCACTGGAAACATGCACAGGTTACTTACTGGTTATCCTGAATGTCAGGCTTGTGTAAAGGATAATCTGAAGCACAGGCTAATATTGGCTTCTTCATTTACCTGAGCCTTCTCTTTAAAAAGGAGAAACCTTCTGTCCACTTTGTAAAGCCCATCTGATTTATACAACCCTCTGTAAAAACCATTAAAAGCAATCTGACCAATTCACTTAGGGAAACGGAAATTAAAAGTTGCCATCATTGCTATCAGCTGCAGGGAGCAATTTATCATTTTTGTTTCTCGTCAGTATCGTGTTCCAACAGCATGCACCTCGAGCAGATACAATTAGGCAGCTGGCCACAGAAGTAGGAGGATAATGTGCTTTTGATGGAGTTTATCCAACCATGGCGATGAAATGCTTGTAAGCCTTGCAACTGGGGTGGAGTGGGGTGGGGAACAAACACACTATCACTATGTTCCTGCAGCAGAAAAAAAACCCAATTTAATTTTAAAAATGGTATTTCCAAAATGAAAATGATTCAGCATCTTGAAAGTACTGGATTATTTCATGGCAGGGTTCTGAAGAAAATTTAGTTTGTTTGCTGCATAAAATGTTTCATCTCAAATCAGAATAGGCACATTCTAATTTTAGAATAGCACATGTGTAAAGCCATTTTGCATCTCAAAATTAGAATAGCACATTCCAAGAATTATTCAAGCAGGCTTTCTATTACATTATTCAAAATCTGACTAGAAGTAAATTGCATTTAGTTTCACTCTACATAACTTCAATTCTTCATGACGAACTCAAAAGTAAAGCTATCTCCTATCAGTCAAGATGGGTAGGCTTCTCATTCTTGGAGGCAAGAAATTAAGGTTGCATTTACTCCTTTAACAAAAAGTTCTTTACAAGCTAGGGTCTGTGAAGGATCATAGAGGTGAAATAATTAGAAAATTTCACTCAAAGTAAAAGAATGTCAAGCTCTGGGGCTAGAAGAGCTGCTTCACTCTTACCTAGTGCAAAATCTCAGCAGTTTAGTGCTAGGAGCCAATTCTCTTTAGATTGGAGTCTAAAGTAAACAGCAAACTGCTTACCTATTCTGAGGCAATGCCAGCACAATTTTATTTATTTATTTATTTATTTATTTATTTATTTATTTATTTATTTATTTATTTATTTAAAATGTTTCCATGCCACTTTTCTCCTTAAAAAGAACCCAAAGCAGAAGGTAATGGGATATGTAATATCTTGTTACTTGGTGTGTTTGGGTAGGAACAAAGCTCAGCAGAAGGGCATTCCTGTAGTATGCACCTGCTGGGCTTTGCCATCTACATTATTGCTATCCTTTAGGGACTCAAAGGGGTACCTTTACTTGCATTATCATCTCATTCCCGCAAATGATACTTTCAACAATCCATGCTTCCCAGAAGGAAATAAGTAGGCATAGTCTTTGACTATTGGGGGGGTGGGGATATCTGGGGGACTCCCCAAGTATGCAGACCCCATTATCATCTCTGTGAGAGGCCCAAAGGTTTGGCATGGAAACCAATGAATTCAGTATTACAAAGAACAATGGTGTTGAACCACTGCATCTCCATTTGAAACAATAAGATACTATATTAGAATCACAGAACCATAGAGAATTGATTTGGAAGGGGCCGATAAGGCCATCAAGTCCAACCTTCTGCTCAATGTAGGAATACAATCAAAGCATATCTGCCAGGTGATTATCTATGTTTTTCTTGAATGCCTCCAGTGTTGGAGCACTCACCAAATCCCGAGATAACGGAGTTGTGCTCCAACAGTTAGGAAGTTTTTCCTGAGATTCAACCAAAATCTGGCTTCCTTTAACTGCCCATAGTTGCGTGTCCTGCAGTCTGGGATGACTGAGAACAGCCCTTGTCCTTCCTCTGTATGACAGCCTTTCAAATATTTGAAAAGTGATATCATATCAATGATCAGTTTTCTTTTCTCAAGGCTAAACATGCCCAATTCTTTCAGCCTTTCCTCATGAGGCTTGATTTCCAGCCCCCTGATCATCCTTGTTGCCCTCCTCTGAACTTGTTCCAATTTGTTAGCATCCTTCTTGATGTGTGGTGTCTAGAACTACAGACAACACTCAAGATGAGGCCTAACCAGTGTGGAATAGAGGGGAACTAGCACCTCCCAGGATTTGGAACTAAACTTCAATTAATGCTGCCTAAAATATCATTTGCATTTTTGTAGCCACATCACACTGTTGTCTCATATTTAGCTTGTGATCTACGACAATTCCAAGATCCTTCGTGCTCACAGTTTTGCTGAGCCAGGTATCCCCCATCTTGTAATTGTACAGTTGGTTTCTTTTTCCGAGATGCAGTACTTTGCACTTATTCCTGTTGAATTTCATTCTGTTGCTTTTGGCCCAGGGCTCCATCCTACCAAGGCCATTTTGAATTTTGTTTCTGTCTTCTAAGGTATTAGATATTCCGCCCAATTTGGTATTATCTGCTAATTTGACAAGCATTCTCTGTACTCCCTCATCCAAAAATATTGAACAGCACCGGGCCCAGGACTGAGCCTTAGGGTACCCCACTTGTTACTTCTTCACAGTTAGAGAAGGACCCATTAATCATCACCCTCTGAGTATGATTCTGTAGCCAACTGTGTATCCACCTGACACTTGGTCTATGCAGGCCACACCTAGTTAGCTTGCTAATCAGGATATCATGGGGCACTTTGTCAAAAGCTTTGCTGAAGTCAAGATATATTATGTCTACAGCATTCCCTCTGTCTGTCAGGGAGGTGACCTGATCAAAAACTGAGATCAAATTAGTATGGCAGGATTTATTCTTGACAAATCCGTGTTGGCTTCTAGTTCTTACTGCATTATTTTCTAGGTGCTTGCATAATGACCGTTTTACGATCTGTTCCAGAATTTTGCCTGGGATTTATGTCAGGCTGACTGGCCTGTAGTTCCCAGGTTCCTCTTTTTTTGCGCTTTTTGAAGACAGTGACAACACTGGCTCTCCTCCAATCCTCTGGCACCTCACCCGTTTCCCGTGATTTCAAGATATTAATGGATAGCAGTTCTGAGAATTCTTCAGCCAGTTCCTTCAGTACTCTTGGATGCAGTACTCTCAGATGCAGTTCATCTAGCCCTGGAGATTTTAACTCGTTCAAGGGAGTAAGGTATTCCTTGACTATTTCTTTATCTATCTCCAGCTCCAATCCTGCCCCCACTTGCACTTCCCATTTGTTTGGAAGTTCATATTCTGTCTTATGGGAAAAGACTGAACTAAAACAGGAACTGAGCACCTCTGCCTTTTCTTTATCCTCTGTTATCATTTTTCCATCTCCATCACGGAGCTGTGCCACTATGTCTTTTGTTTGCCTTTTGCTACTCACATACCTGAAGAATGCTTTTTTATTGCTTTTCGTGTCTCTAGCTAACCTCAGCTCTTTCTCAGCTTTTGCCCTCCTAATGCCATCCTTGCATTTCCTTGCTACATGTCTGTAGTCATCCTTGGTGGTCTGGCCTTCTTTCCATTTCCTGTACACATCTTTTTTGGTTTTTAGGTCCTCCCTGAGCTTTTTGTGAAGCCATACTGGCCTTTTTTTGCCACCTACCCCCTTTTTTTCTTGTTGGAATTGTTTGTAATGCCTTTAGAATTTCTGTTTTTAGAAGTTCCCACCTTTCTTTGACTCCTTTTCTTGTTAGGATCTCCTACCATGGGACCTTACTTATCCTTGTTCTGAGATTGTTAAAATTAGATTTTTAAAAATCCAGTAGACATGTGTTGCTACAGTCTGCTTTCGTTTCCTTTGAAATCAAGAATTCTAGAAGGACATGGTCACTCTCACCTAGAGTTCCCCTTACTGACACTTCCCCCACCAAGTCATCTTAGGAACATGCTTACTGCACATATTCTATGGCCTGCTACCTTTTTCAGCACATTATTACAAACTGAAAATGCATTGTGTTTTCCTCCCCATAACAGGCTGAAAGGGAAACAATTTAAGCACCTAGGGCTACAGAGTTTCACACACTTGTTTGGGGAAAATCCCACTAAACAAAGTGGGCTTGTATGTGTTATGTGCCATCAAGTAAGATTTTAGAGTACAGTACCTTAGTTGGAATTGGAGGTAAGTGATATATGTAAGATGTAGCTTCTCCAGTGCCACACTCCCTAGTCAGTTTCCCTGGCTGACCCCAGGTCTCCTGAGTCCTAGTCTGTCACTCTATCAACTACAACTTACTGAGTATTCAACTGGGTACTTTTCTGATTAAATATGAATAAGGATGACCTGAATCCACAGTCTTTCTGTTTCAAGAATAACCTTCAACAGTTGCTTTTTGTTTCAAAAGTAGAAAGTGTCAAGGTCTTGGCATCAAATAAAATTTGTTCTAATATTTTAGAAAAGAATCCAAAAATCTAAATAGAACATTCTAGAGGAAAAAAATGTATCCAACCATAGACTTACATTTTAAGCCATCTCCAAAATTCCCAATACAAATAATAGATGTTACTCTTCATTTACTGCAAGGTTAGGCAGCCTGATATGATAAATGGGCTGCCAGCTTCTAACTAAACTGCCATACTCCATCACAAAAGGAGTGGAGATTCTGGCCATAAGATGTCAATAATAATGCATGATGAATGCCTAATACCTGACAAACTGTTTTTGTTTTTTGAGCAACACTACAAAGCTTTGATCAAACATGAATAACAAACATATCACTTGTATTACTAACTGGGGGTGGGAGTGCACCCAAATCAACAAATACACCTATCAGTTTGAAAAGGAAGATGCACACTATATCCCAAAGTTGTACAGATCTTTAAAAACCTGCAAGCAATGTCATATGCAGAAGCCCTAAACATATGCATATTTCTTTGTTGAAAGTGTGAGTTCCCAGGGTAGAACATGCAGTGAGTAAGCTTAAAGTTGTTCCCTATGAAGAAGGCAAAAACAGATCAAAGCATGGGAAGAGAAAGAAATCAAAAAACAAACCCAAACATAAAGGAAATACCTGTGACAAGTGGAGAGCAAGATAACAGAGAAAATAAACACAGGCAGAACAGAGAGTTCTTTAATGGAAATAATAGATGACAGGAGAGAGGAAGAGACTTAAAAGAAGTAAAGCAGGACAGACCACAGGAGAGACTGACCACAGGAAAGACTGTATACATTGGCCAAAGACTGGAAACACTGCTCGAAGGGGCTGCTGTCATGTTAAAAGCTAACCTGAAGTTTACTGAATTCAAACTTCCATTTGCAAATGCAAGCTTGTTACCATAAATCAAGTGATCCAAACTGAGGCACTGAGTCCAAAGGAATTCTTAAAAATAAAATCTTTACCGTACACACTGAAGTCTTCATGACCTTCAGGGTGAAGTCTGATGAGCACTGTAATTCTGGAACAGATACAACATGGCAGTCTATCCGCTGTAAGACAGTGCAAGACTGAGGTCAGTCTGAGAAACAAATTATTATTTTAAAAAAAGGGCTGTTAGTCAGCCCTTTACTACAAACCTGTAAGAAAACTATCTTAGCTTAGGAAAGAAAACAATAAAATAGTCATAAAACCATAGAATAATGAGGTTAGAAGGGACCTATAAGGCCATTGGGGGCAACCTCCAACTCAATGCAAGAATTCAAATTAAAGCAGATCTAACAAATGGTTGTCCAGTTTTCTCAGCATTATAACACTCACTGCCTACCAACCTAATTGGTTCCGTTGCCATGCTGCTCTAATAATTAGGACATTTTTCCAGATGCTGAAATCTGATCTGGCTTCCTGTAACTTGAGCCCATTGTTGTGTGTCTTGCACTCTGAGACAATCAAAAACTGATCCTGTCCCTCCTCTGTATGACTACCTTTCAGGTATTTGAAGAATGCTATCATATATCCCCTCGGTGTTCTTTTCTCAAGGCTAAACATGTCCAGTTCTTTCTAGTATTTTCTCATAGGGCTTGGTTTCCAGTCCCTTGATCATACCTGTTGCCCTCTTCTGAACTTTATCAAATTTGCTGGCATCCTTCTTTAAGTACGGTGTCTAGAACTGGACACAGTACTCTATATTAGGCCTAACAACTGCCAAATAGAGGATTTGGAGATTATATTTCTGTTAATGCAGTCTAAAATAGCATTTGCCTTTTTTGCAGTCACATTGCATCATTCTCAGTTATAGTATCACTGAGCCAAGTATCCTCCATCTTGTAACTGTGTGTTTCTTTTTGCCCTGGGTTTCAGCCCAGTGCTCAAGCCTATCAAGGTATTTTCGAATTTTGTTCCTGTCTTCCAAGGTATTAGCTATTCCATCCAATTTTGTGTTATCTGCAGATCCGATAAGTATTCACTGCATTCCCTCATCCAAATCATTAATACAAATGTTGAAGAGCACTGGGCCCAAGACCAAGCTTTGTGGTAACCCACTTATCTTGTCCCAGTTTGAGAAGGAGCCATTGATAAGCACTGCCTGAATACTATTCTGTAACTGAATGTATACCCACCTGACAGTTGTTCTATCCAGCCCATACCTAGTTTGCTAATTGAAATATCATGGGGAACTTTGTCAAAAGCTTTGCTGAAGTCAAGATATATTATGTCTACAGCATTCCTGCTGTCTACCAAGGCAGTTACTTGATCAAAAAATCAGATAAGATTAGTCATCTCAACATGCAAGAGAAACACGTAGCAACCCTACAGCCTGGGGTGGCGCCAAAAAGATGTGCCTCTCCCTGATTTCGGGGTGGGCACCCGCAACTAATTTAAGAGTGTAAAAATAGCTCTATCTGTAACAACAGAACCTGACATCAGGCCACCTTGACACACAGCTTATTAAAGGAATTTTCTGAGCTATAGGTGTAAAGCACCATCAGTCAAGGGTTCATTCAATCTCCATTCTTAAAAGCAACCTACTCACAAAAATAGTTGCAAATCCATTGGTTACATTTGTGAAGCCTGAGCCAAAAATGGAGTATTTTTATTACCTCTTTAACAACCATCCTCTAAAACTGCATAAGGACCAAACTGCTTTTTAATTGCAGTCTAAAGCTGCCTGATAAGATCCAAGACTGTTTTGCAATGCAGTTTTCAGGAGAAAGATTTTTTCAGTGGAGGGAGAAACTTCACTTGGTATCCTATTAGTCTCTTATATTCCAGTTTTGTGACTGATGCTGAGATTTCATCTGGAGTGTTTATTCTAGGCATTTTCTTAAGAGATTTTCTGGATTATAACCAGTATTTCAAAGTTGCAACTGTACATACTGGTGTAGCCTTTTGTACACAGGCCTTCAATTGTTCAATACATTCAGAGTATACAGTTATTCACTGAATGACTGCAACCATTCTAAAGGAGGTACCAAAATAAATAGTTATCAAACAGAAAGCTGAACTATTATGAAACCCATTCTGAAAGTTAAGTGCTGTTGGTTGTGTCTCGTACTGTTGCATTTTTGCACTCATTTTTCATTACATTTTGATCAACATTATTACTGTTAACTGTCTTTTGAGTATTTTGGCTGAAGGTCAGGCTATATACGTATTATTCTGCCTAAGACATGGACTAAGTGATTCACTGTGTTCTTTCCAGCCCAGAAGTATGATGGTACAAACCAGTACTAATAATCAGCAACTGCTCACCTACAGATTAGAAATTTGCTTCATAACATACACAACTCAAACTTACAAAAAACTATAAGATGTTTATGAAGCCGAGCAGAGCATGACAAGCACATCCCCTCATATTAACAATGATTCAGAGCTCAATTTATATTCTTAGTCATCATCTGACGAACTGTGTACTTTTTAATAATTTCCTAGGTTTTCCAGAGTCATCAGTTTTATAGAGCAGGTATTGATTTTGATTGTTTACTCATAAGGATGGACTCTGGTAGTTTCATTAATTTTACTACATGTTGCAGAGGAAATCTATGCGTAAAATTTAAAGATTACAGTGGTGCCTCAACTTACTAACTTAATTGGTTCCGGAACTCCGGCCGTAACTCGAAATGGTTGTAAGTCGAAGCACCATTTCCCATAGAAATGCACTGAAATGCAATTAATTCGTTCCAGCCGAAGAAAAAAAAATCACTAAAAAACACCCACAAAACACTGCAAGACCCATTGGAAACGCGATTGATTCGTTCCGGCCGAAGGGGGAAAAAAGAAAGAAAAGCAAACAAACCATGCAAGACTTTTCAGAAATGCAAAAAAAAGCAAAGCAGAAACAAACAAACTGCAAGACCCATCGGAAATGGGGAAAAAAACAAAAAGCAAACAAACCATGCAAGACTTTTCAGAAATGCAAAAAAAAAAAGCAAGCAGAAAGCAAACAAACAAGACCCATTGGAAATTGGGGGGGAAAACCCAAAAAAGCGAACAAACCCTTCAAGACCCATCAGAAATGGGGGAAAAACAGCAAACAAATCCCCAAGACCCATCAGAAATGGGGAAAAAAACCAAAAAGTAAACAACACCCCCCCAAGACCCACCACAGCATAGAAACATAATTCCACCACCCAGCCCAAAACCACGCTGCAAAACCCACCCAGAACAGTTTTTAAAAAGCAAAAAGCAGCACCTTAACTTACCAGGCAGTCTGAAGCCTCCTCTGATCGCACTCACTCTAACCATTGGGGCAAAAGAGCTACAAAGAAGCAGCCTCTTCGCCTACCAACGGTTAGCCATTTGAATACCCCACTTTTCCCCCCTGCCTTTTTCTGTTTGTAACATTATTAAAATAAACATCATTAAATGCAACTGCAAAGACTAAAGAAATAAATCAGAGGAAGGAAATAAGCAAAAAAGTTTTTTTAAGATTTAAAGATAGTTTTTTAGAGTCACATAACATTGTTATGGGTAGAACAAACAGAATTCTACATCAGGATTGACATACTACTACTACATATAAAATAGAGAAACTGAATATGGAATGAGCAGGTACCTATTACAGCTTCTCATTTTATTGCTGTTTTTATGAATTTTTGGTGGTCAAGGTGGAACATGAGAAAATGTGCTATGAAACAAGCTTGATACTCATAACCAGTTCATTTCCCCAACAGCAACAACTGAAATCCAACTGCTAATCCCAAATAGAACAGATTCTTTTAATTAAATGCAGAGTGTATTTATAATACTTACAAAAATTCCACAAATGCTGTGGTGTGCTCTAATTGGAAATGACGGATGAATTCAGTTCAAAAAGATTAATCACTTGTAACAAGCTCATATTTCCCTTTTCTAATTACAAATTATTATACTGATAATAATTATAATTGCAAATATATAGTTGCATACAGTGGGGTTAGAACTATAACAAATTACATTTTAAACATGGATTTCCAAGTCATGTATGCAAAATCCAAATAGTTTAGATCAGTGGTTCTTAACCTTTGTTACTCAGGTGTTTTTGAACTGCAATTCCCAGAAATCCCAGCCAGCAGAGCTGATGGTGAAGGCTTCTGGGAGTTGCAATCCAAAAACATCTGAATAACAAAGGTTAAGAACCAGTGGTTTAGATCAAAGTTGCAAGATACTACAGTGGGGTCTCAACTTACGAACGGCTCGACATACGAACGTTTCGACTTACAAACTGCTCTCATAGGAATATATGGACTCAACTTACGAACTTAGATTCGAGTTACGAACTCTTTTTTTTCCTTTTATTTTAATGCTAAGTCATCTTAGGTTAAAAGGAAAAAAGAAAAAAAAACCCCTAGTGGCAACCAGTTCATTTCCCCAACAGCAACAACTGAAATCCAACTGCTAATCCCAAATAGAACAGATTCTTTTAATTAAATGCAGAGTGTATTTATAATACTTACAGAAATCCCACAAATGCTGTGGTGTGCTCTAATTGGAAATGACCGATGAATTCAGTTCAAAAAGATTAATCACTTGTAACAAGCTCATATTTCCCTTTTCTAATTACAAATTATTATACTGATAATAATTATAATTGCAAATATATAGTTGCATACAGTGGGGTTAGAACTATAACAAATTACATTTTAAACATGGATTACCAAGTCATGTATGTGAAATCCAAATAGTTTAGATCAAGGTTGCAAGATACTACTACCATGGGCTCTCTGTTACTATAGGTCAGACATTAATGCTAAGTCATCTTAGGTTAAAAGGAAAAAAGAAAAAAAAACCCCTAGTGGCAGAAGGTGGAATAGCAGCTTCCCATTAGTTTCTATGGACGAAAAGAGCAGATACGGATTAAATGGTTTTCAATGCATTCCTATGGGAAATGCAGATTCTACATAAGAACTTTTCGACCTGAGAACTGCCTTCCAATACGGATTAAGTTCGTAAATCGAGACCCCACTGTACTACCATGGGCTCTCTGTTACTAGGTCAGACGTGTACGTACATAATTTTCATGTAATTGCCTTGGCATGAAAGGAAAGAATACAAATGGAATTACCAACAACTCTTTTTAAAATCTGCATTATTTGTTACAGTACCTTGATGACACAAGCTTCAGATATAAGTGTGCTTGAATCGAAAACATCTACAACTGCTTCTGGAATAACGGCCTTTTTCATGCAGGACATGCTGAAACCATACACATTATCCCAAAAAGCGAATCTGTCAGCATGTTTCTTAAGATCACCTATAGCCACCAGGCTAATGGTGCAGATGTCAGGATACACTGCGAACAGACAAATTATTAAAAATTGTGATGTTATAGCAGATTATTGTTATCCAAGGAGATAAACCAAATACTAATTTGGCTACAGCACATATTGAGGAAAAATTAAACTTGTAAACATGACAATTCAGTATCTGTGAACTAAGATCCTGAAGGACTAGTACATTTTGAATACATAGAGAAAACAAATGCCGGAAAGGTTGCTTTACCTGATAACTACTGCTAAATCAGTACCCTTTCTTCTACCAAAGTTTTAGCTACACACTTTGATAAAGGGCAACAAAAGATATGGTGAATGACAAGTATCCTTTGACCTATAGAGACACTCAACTCCTCTGAGTTGAATCCTAACACTACTGTTGCATATCAAGTGGATTGTTTAAAGTTTGCAGGTTCCAACTTGGAACTTCAGTTTAAGTATAGACCTAGAGCTTCAACATCTACCCAGGATGATTTTTTGGATATGTTTGTACCTGCCCCCCAACTCTGCAATGCTCAAACAGATGAAGAGTTCCACACAACTTGAAAGCTCATGTGCTCATTATATTTTAGTGTTTAGTATTGCCCCTTTCTTTTCTTTTCTTTCTCTTCTCCTTCTTTCTCTTCTATCCCTTTTTGAAAAAAGTAAGGTGACAACTACTGATGAAAAGTTAAAGAAAATTGATGCTTCTAATTTGCTAACAATACAACAACTGTTACTGACGTGGCTGGTCAAAGTAATGCTGGTGATAACTACTTCTGTGAGGGAAAGCATGTATGTCTTAGCATCAAATTGCTATTCACTAACAAGATGCTGGCTGCACTCCATAAATATGGAAATAACTTTTAGTGTTAAAATTATTATTTTTTAATTGAACATTAATTAAGAATGGTTTTCCCATTAACTCTGCAAAGCAATTCACATTTACCTCACAATAAGCCCCATTTAACATAGTGGAATTTTACTTTTAAGTAAACATGCATAGAATTAAACTGTAATAAAACCTAATATGACTGCTGAAGTTTTAGGGGCTCTGACAGTGGAAACGGAGAGGAAGAAAATTCCACTGCACTATAGGCTAAAGCACACTCAGAATTATAAGGAGCAGGAAGCTTTCATTGGCTATCCAGGGGGGAAAAGTACAGCAACTCTGGTGGAGAAGGAGTGGTATTCAAAACATATGGAGCTCCATCAATGGTTTGCACACCTGAGAGCTGTTGTACAAACTGGTATTTGGGGTTATTATGTCAGTTGGTAACTGCTAGAGAAAGTATTATACAAGAGAATGTTATTAACCTTAGAAATTGCAGCATTGGGCAAGGTTCTTGAGTTCCTGAATTAATACTTTTTTAACTCAAGCATTCCTACAGTCCAGAAACATTCCTGGATTATCAGCAATATTCAAGCACTCAAGTGTAGACAAAACATACCAGACCTAAGTAAATACACTGTAGTTTAATAATTCTATATTAGACATGGGGACAAAAAAATTGTGATATTCATCAGAAATCCCTGATTCGTGCCATATTTGTCACTTCATATTTGTCAATTCTGGAAGCCCTGACAAATATGAAATGATGAATATTTAGCTTTTTAATTTGTCCCTTCATTGGGCCTGGGCCCAAAGAGCAGGCTAGGGTGCTGGAAAAGCTGTTCCAGCAGCCTAGTTTGCTCAATGTCCTTACAAGCCTGCTGAATAGCAGTTCAGTGGGCCCCCACCCCCTGCCCTCTACCTACTGTCCCCCCCATCACCTCCCTATCTTGTCTTGTCCCCGTCGCCCTCGCCGTTGATAAAAAGGACACCATCATTCTGGTAAGCTAGCTTGGCCTCTATGCCTCTGAGAGAGCAGGCTAGTTGACCGGAATTGTCCACACAGGCTAGACTGGCCTCTCTGATTCTGCAGGCACCAATTAGTTGATCAGTGCTGGGGAAAGCAGAGACAGCCTGCGGGCACATTTGTACCCAGCTAGCCTGCTCTCTCTGCCTTTAGGCAAAAGGACACCATCATTCTGGTAAGCTAGCTTGGCCTCTATGCCTCTGAGAGAGCAGGCTAGTTGACCGGAATTGTCCACACAGGCTAGACTGGCCTCTCTGATTCTGCAGGCACCAATTAGTTGATCAGTGCTGGGGAAAGCAGAGACAGCCTGCGGGCACATTTGTACCCAGCTAGCCTGCTCTCTCTGCCTTTAGGCCCAGCCACAGAGGGAAAGTGGAGAAAAAAAAAAAAAAAAAAAAAAAGACAAAGACAAACTGACAAACCGATTCATGGTTCATCAGAAATTCCTGGGAAAATTTGGTGGTTTCTATTCTATATCATTTTAATGGTTTCTATTCTATATCATTCTAGTGGTTTCTATTCTATATCCATTTAGTGGTTTCTATTCTATATCCATCTCTATTCTATATCATTCTAGCGTGGTTTCTCATTTGGGGAAACGCCTTCAGGATATGCAAGGTCATGCAATGGGAAGGAGATGTGAATCTCAAATTCTTTGCATCCTGCCATTGTCCTGCATCTTTGCCCTTGCCCTGCTACTTGAATAAAGGACAAATATTCTGTGAATGTGGAGAAACTTAATAATGCAGCATTTATATGCATGCAATCTATGCTCCACCACATGTACAAAATAAGCTCTAGCAAATGGCCAAGATAACACTATTGAAGTAGCCTGCATCTGGTCAAAAACAGTGTAATTATCCTAATATATTAACTTGTTTTTTGAGTTTAACTAGATTCCGAATTTCCACATATGGTACCCAGAAATGAGCTGCAAAGAGGCAGAAAAGTTTTCCTAACTAACAAGTTGTGGTGGATACATGACTCAGCTCTCATTCTTTCTACAACTGCAGCCTGACATTGTAAAAAAAATCTGTATTGAATTCTCTAATATGGCAACCCCATCTGACTTTCTGCTAACTTTCATTTTGCATAGCAACTGACTTTCAGGACCCAAATTTATAACCATTCCTTATTTTGTTAAGACCATTATTAATTAAAATATCATGGCAGGTTTCCACATAATCTTGCTAAAAGAGTCTTCAGCAGAAAAGACCCAGTCCAACACATAACAGTGATGGGTCTCATTTATTTATTTATTTATTTATTTATTCATTCATTCATTCATTCATTTATTTAATTAATACCCCACCTATCTGGTCTTACGACCAATCTAGGCGGCTTACAAACACAAGGAACAGTAAGTAAATATAAAAAAGAAATTATAACATCAAAAGCCAGTTCTTCAAGATGGAGAAGAAAAAAATAAAAATATACCAAAAAAGAAAAAGAGAAGAGGAAAGAATCAAATATTAACTGGAGGGAAGGCCTACCTGAACATCTATGTTTTTATTTGGTTTTTAAAAATACCCAGCAAAGGGGCTGCATGAATCTCCGGAGGCAGATTGTTCCAGAGGCGATAGTTCCTTAAACCTTGCTACTAACAAAAATAAAATAATTTCTATGTGTGTACCAAATCCTACGGAGTCATTTCGTTTTTACCTGGTGGTATTATTTCCCATCCCATATAACATTAAACTGCAAATCACACATATCTCACTGCAGCACACTTTAGAAATTCATGGATTTCTCATCTGTGTCCTTCTCGACCCACTGCCCCCAAATCATATGTCATTAGTAACAGCTCATACTGAGAGCAAAGTGTGTTGGGAAATCTTGTATCCTTCAGCAATGCCATACAAATTTAAGGACATTAAAAGGATAACACTGTATAACTCTAGGTCTAGAGGCACAGATGTAAATGATCATCACCCAGTGGTGAGAAAACAAAATAACCAATCATTCCCTTTAAAGTAGTGGTTTTACTTTCAGAATGGAAGACTCCTTCTGCACACCATTGCTTGATATATTTTATAGGTCAGAGTGCTGGAAAGATGATGTAGAAATTTTTAGCCCACACTGTGACAATCCATTAATCTTAACTTTCAAATGGATTTATACCTTGGATAAGTAAGCACACAGCTAAAATAATACAAAAGCTGTAAAATATTAATACGAAACAATAATGTTCCACATACCTAATATGCAAAAAGACAACACACAGTTTCTTGTGACAAACACAATTTAATCATAAAAAGTTAGCTGTTTCACAAGGCAGACAAAACACACAGAACAGTACCTTTCCAGAATGAGTTGACACCCAGTTTGCTCCATCAGTATAAAAACCAGCAGACATTGAAGACATTGATGCAAGGCAGGCAAAATATACTTTTTTGTCAGGAGAACATTACAGCATCACACATCACTAGCACTCAAAATCTTTCAGTTATACTGGCATAGGGCAAATGGTGTAACTTTTGTACACAAACTTACCAGTTGTGCACTGAATTGTACAATATGGTCAATGTGCAACGCTGATGATTTCTTAATTTGCCTCTATTTGCACGTTTACACAAAAAGAGTTTGGCCATTGTGTGATACTAACTTTTAATATTTCCTCTGAATATTATTTTTGCTGACACTAAAACAATTTTCAAGGTATGTGAAATATTTTAGGAATGTTTTTCACCATTGTTACCTCTACTGTGTGTTTCCATGACTAAGTAGGGATTTGCACCTAGGTTTCTTAGACCATCACCACTACATCACTCTGGCTCGATGATGATGATGATGATGCCGCATTTCTCCCAACAAGAGACCCAACATTAAAATTCACACAATTTAAAAACACAATAAGTTAAATATTAAAAGATAAATTAAACAATATATGATTTAAAATACAATTAAAAGATTAAAACATGAAAACATACAAAAGATTAATATGATCTTCTAGAATGGGGTTCATGGATTCAATTATAATTTTTTAAAAGCCTGCCTGAAGAGATGGGTCTTTGGCTTTTTTCGAAAGGATCACAGGGAAGGGGCCATCCTGATCTCCCAAGGGAGAGTGCTCCATTGCCTGGGAGCTGCCATAAAGGTCCTCTCCCGTGTCCCCATCAGTTGGGCTTGTGCAGGCAATGGGACCCAGAGGAGGGCCTCCGTTGCTGAACTTAATCACCAAG